TTCCCTTCGAAGGCCCTTTCCCACCCAGGCCAGGAGCCCGCGTGCAGTCTGCCTGCTGACTGGGTTCCCGTCTGGCTTCTCTCTGGGCTGACGTCTCCCTTGGAAGTAAGGAGGCGGGTGGGCCCCCCTGGGCTCTCCAGCAGGGCCTCTGCGCTGGCTCAGGAGAGGGGCCTTCAGGGGGCAGGACGCCCCCAGCTCCCCCGCACAGTGGGTGCAGGACAGCCGGCTCCAGTCTTCAGGTTCATTATTCTTTAGACTTCTTACCCAGTGGGCTGGAAACCCAGGAGGAGGGACAGGAAGGCGAGCCACGCAAGAGGTGGGGGTGAGAACGGGCGAGGTGGGCGGGGCCGGGGGGCAGCGGTCCTTCGGAGGCCGGACCTCCGGCGGTGGCCGGGCCGCCGGCCTGCCACCCAGAGCCCTCAGCTTCCTGTCCAGCCCACATCCAGTGTGGGGTCTGAAAGGGCTTCTCTTTCCCGCAGGGTTTTGGTTCCTGTTTTCTCTCCTTGGACCTGCCAGGACGCTATCAGGTGTGGGCCGGGGGCCCCCCAGGTGCGCCCACGTGGCCCCGGGTCCATGGCTCCCCCCAGGGGCCGGGCACTGGTTCCCAGAGCCCCAGTTCCGGACCCTCCCTGCCTCTGCACAGGCCGGGAGAGGGTGAGCCCCACGCAGGCTGACGTCAGCCCAGCCTTCCGGACAGGAAGCCTGCAGCCGGCATCCGGACCTCCAGTCCGCGCCCGGCCGCGGCTGGCACCAGGGACGCCGCAGCTCTGAACAAGAGGGGCTAAAAGCTCCCTTCGCCCAGTGAAACTCTCAGGTGTGTCCTGGAGCAGCCCCCGTCCTCCCCTGATGGGCAGCAGACATTCTGGTCTGGCCAAGGGGACCACCCCCAACAAGGGCAGAGCTGGAGTGGCCCAGGGCGACCACAGCGCCCCTCTCCCCGGGGATCCAAGTTGGGTCAGTGTCAGGCCAAGCAGGGCGGAAGCTACCCCACCCACGCCCCAGTGGGGAGTCGGCCCTGTATAGGTGTTCAGCTAAGATCTCAGAACCTTCCAGAACCCCGCAGGCCCCTGGTAACCTGTCTCTGACACGCAGTCCGCCCCCACTTATCAGTCTTGGGGCTCCTTTTCTTCCTGGTTCCATTGCTCCTAGGAACTCACAGGACTTTGGACAGATCTGAGTTCAGATCCTGCCCCCTCCTGGGGCCGGCGGGTGTCGGGGGCTGTGGGCGTGAATGCCCCCTCCATGGCGGTTCAGATGCACTGACACCAAGATGAGGCAGCGGGCACTTAGGCAGCAGAGGGAACTTTGGGGGATGGGTAGATTTCAGACCCTGGGTCTTCCGGCTTCTGGGAGCTGCATCCTGCAACCAGACAAATCCCATCTGAAGCCCTGCAGTGGGGCCCAGGAAGCTACATTTTCACAAGGCCCCGAATTTGCAGCATGTCTGAGCTCTGGGTTGTAGCCTCGGGCTGGGGCCCTGGTTCACCAGCTACATCCCTCAGTGTTTCTGAGCTTCAGCTTCCTCATCTGCAAAAGGCCATTCTCACCGCAGCCTGCACAGAATGCTCTAGGCGTGGGTGCTGGGCCATAGCAGGTGTCGGGCGAGTGGTCCTGCCCAGCAAACACGGAAACCACACAGCACGAGAGTGAAAGGTGCCTGCCGCTCTGCCGTCCAGCGGACATGGGTTCTGAAACATTTCAGTGTGTTTTCTGCCAGCTTACCTTATCAATATAATACAATTAAAAGCTGGGGCCATGCTGTATCTCTACCGTGCTTTGTCCTCTAGGAAATTAGGATTGTTTTCAGTTTTTCACTATGATAGATTTGTGACAACTGTAGTTAATAGTCTTAGAAAAGAACCTGTGCATCTGAAAGATCATTCCCTAAGGCTAAACTTCCAACTGAAACCCGCAGAGGCCTTCACGGTCCCTTGTCGCTTTCAGACGTTGATCTGCCCCCTCTCCCGCGCCCGAAGGCCAGCTGCAATCCCTGCGATCCCAGGCTGTGTCGCTGTAGAGTGCGGTGCTGCCCGGGAAGGGTCGAGCCTGGGAAATGTTTTGGGCGTTGTCCTCCCGCACACACCAGTCTGCCGGTCGCCCAGCCACCTGCCTGCTGTGCTGTCCTTGCTGGGGTGGGGGGCGGCTGCCATGGGATGGGGGGGCCCTGGGTGCAGTCCTGGTCCTTGCTCTCTGGCCGTGCATCTTGGGACCGTGTAAGAGAGGGGCGTGGGTGGCACAGTGCACCCAGCCCTAGTCTCTTGTAGGCTCCCCCACCCGGTCTCTCTGGCCCTGTTCCCCTGGGTCCCTGTGGGCCAGGAGTTGTACGGGGGCTGGGAAGCATGCTCCACGGCTCCGGCTCTGAGCAGCCGCAGGGGTGGCAGGAGGAGGAGTGCCTAGAGGGACAGGTGACTGTCTGTAACCCGAGGGAGACCCCTGGGGGCAGGGCCTCCTTGTGCTTTTGCCAAATGACCTGGGCCCACCAAGATCTGTGAGAGCCAGGGCCTTTCCTCCCTCCTCCAGAGTCTTAAATCCTTTTTATCCTGAAAATGTTTGAACATCCAGAAATAGGAGAATAATCTAATGTCCCACCAACAAATGAACAGGTTTGACCTGTTGCCACATTTGCTTTGCTTTATTATTTGTGTGTATGTGAAACATATTACAGGAGATCACACCCAGCCTGGCATCTCACCCCTAAACATTTAGGATAAAATCTTTGGCAGAGACAAACACTTCAAGTCTCTGGCAGAGACAAGCAATTCTTACACGACCTCTATGCTGTCACCGCAGGTAACCAGAGCAGGCTCCTTCCTCCGTGTCATCCGGTGCTAGTCCACGTTCAAGCTTTCCACGGTCCCCCAGATGCTGTTTCACAGCTGGTTTGTTTGAAGAATGATACAAAGTCCCCACCCTGCATTTGCTTTTATGTCACTTCCATTTCTCCTCATCTGTAAGCAGCCCCTCCCTTTTTCCTTGCATGCCAAGGCTTATTGAAGAGGCCAGGTCAAAGGCCCCTCGTTCAGGATGTCTCTG